TAGTTCTTTATTACTGAAACACTAGGTTAAACTTCATTAAATATCCTACTCTGAGATTTATGTCGTTTATTTTATCTAGTTTTTCAGTTTAACCACCCGCCAAGTATGAAAACTTGATCTGATTCAATTCGGTACAAGCTTCAGAGTGATATGTCTAGTTGTCCATTTTTTTTCACTAACAATGGTAACAACCGAAGATTCAAAGCAAATAAAAACACGTTTCTGTTTCTGTGAAATTTCATTGCACTGTTGCTTGTAATGGGTCTTCTAATTTTACCTTTAAATCACATATGCATACGTTGTTAAATTAATGACCACAAAACCCTATTCAGTTGTAATACATTAATACAGGTGTAAAACTTGGGCACTGTGGTAGAATTCAATTCCATATTATTATTACCATTACTGTTATTATTATTATTTATTTGTTTTCCCTTATATCCTTGTGGAACATAGGGCTTCAGTAGCACGCCTCCATTGCACTCTCTTCTCCGCAGTCTTTTCAATCTGTCACCACGACTGCCTACAAGCTTTCATTTCTTCCTCCCATGATCTCCTCCATGCTAACCTCAGCTGGGACGCCCAACTCATCGTTTTCCCTTTGGATTCCACTTGACGGTCTGGCTTGAAGTGTGATGTCCCCAGTCGGCCTCCTCAGTGTATGCCCAATCCACCTCACTTCCTTCCAGTGCATATTTGTTGGGTGACAGGCTCTTGGTTGGTTCGTTGCCAGAGTTCCTTACTGTTTGTTCTTTCGGCTATCCATCTGATCTTCAGTAATGAGCCCAGCGTAGACAGTTGTTGACGAATATCTGTAGTTTGTTGGAAGTGCTTTTCGTAACACGCTAAGTTTCTGAACCATATAGAAGCACTGACTTGACATTGGTGTTACGCATTCGGATCTTGTTCTTTGTGCTGAGTGGAGTGCAAAAGATCTCCACACTGGTTTCAGGTTAATGAACATTTGTCGTGCCTTGCCGATGCTGGCTTCGACATCCTCATCTGTGCCGCCACCTGTAGTTGAAACGATGCTGCCTGCCTAGATAGGTGAAGGAGGCTACTTCCTTTAAGTTTCTTCCGTTGATGCTGATTGCAGCTTGTTGTTATCGGTTGGGTATCTTCATCATCTTTGTCTTCTCTACGTTCACTTGAAGTCCCGTCTTCTCTGTCCTGCCTCTTCTGTTGACTTGTTAGTTTTCGCCAGTAGATCTTCTAGTTTGTGCAACAGGACATTAGACATAAATCATCATTGGCGAAATCCAAATCTTCTAGGCTATTTTCATCAGTCCGGCGTATGCCCATCTTCTCGCTCCTTACTGTTTGCTGCATGATCCAGTCGATCATAATCAGGGAGATCATGGATGATAGTAGGCACTGATTGCAGTTGTCTATAGAATTCCTCCTCCTTCTCTTGATCTGCATTATTTGTTGGCGCATGGCATTCTATGATTGTGACTTTCCTTTCTTTCGAGTTGAATTTTGCTGTCATGATCCTGGGGAGACTTGTTCCCACTGCATGAGAGTGAGCCTTCGATGTTCTTGGGGAAATCATGATAGCCACTTCATAACTGAGTGTGCTCATGATTGTTCGTCTGAGTTATAATATCGGAGTAGATTACTGACTCTCCAGTTGACAGTTTGGAGAGTCCACTTCCATTTCATCTGCTTTCGCAGATTCCAAGCACTTCCATGCCATACCTTCTGATCTCTTTTCATATCTGGGCAGCCTTAGTAGGTTCATACATGGTGCGGACATTCCATGTCCCCACGTGTACTTTCGCTTTCATCGAGATGAGACACATCGGCCAACTGGCTTCCCGAAGGCTTTCACCAATCGGTGTCATTTTGCCTCTCCAATTACAGTGAGGAATAAGTTTATTTTTATATTTTCTTAGTGCTTTAAAGTTTGTTTTCGGTTGGATTGGTTTTACAGGGTAGGGTTGGCAGCCGTATGCCAAACCTTCCCTCTTTACCCGGTCTTAGGACCGGCTAGTAACTAGTGAACTAGTTAACTAGGCGAGGTTAATTCCATATTAGATTTGTTTATTTAATTTGTAATACACAGTGATACAGTACTATTTACTTCATGACGTTTCGAGGATACATTATCATTACGCATAACCATGTCAAAGTAATCATTCTACTTTCGACATCTGCTTTTTATAGTTCTGTCACCTCTTATTTTTCGTTTTTATTAGCAGTAAAATATGAGAATTTCCAGAGTGAAAGCTATCTTCAAACCAACAGATCCCAACACAGTTCCATGAACTAAACAGTCATTTAGCCGTCTTCTCTTCAAGTTAGTTGGTCTGTACAGTCAGTCAGTATCAACAAGAAATTTAGGAGAACTATTTTTCATACCACTCAATTAAGATATAAGTTTAGGAGAAAGTTAACGGAGTGAAAATGAAGCAAAGTCGTAGGAAGCAATAAAAACAGTAGATGAATTAAAGTGACAACAAGGCGTAAACTCGTATAAACCACGGATGCCGAATGAGCCACACCGCTTTTGTCACACAAACCTCCACCAGGAAGCCTACAACTTCCTTACACAGCTCAGACAAACAGCTATAGACTTCATGAACCAATTTTCATTTCATTCCTTTTATCCTTAGCCTTATTTTAACTTAAATATGCTCCAAGTGAAACAGGTAATTAGGGTAAACATTTACCAGGTATATAAATCACATGTCACAGTTGTGTCAGTCGATGAAGATTTACTACCTCAGCAACTGATTTACTTCACATAAACTTCATCGCCTGACCTCAACATTATGCAAGTGCTGGTTCTTTGGATAAGTTAAAGTCTTTCGATGTCCTACAACTGTAAATCAAATCCTGACAACTAAGCTGTTTGAGATGAAACCAGCTGATGAGAAACTTCTTAAAATAATTCAATACTATTCCGCTTCAGTTTTAATATAATTCTAACCAAACTGTGTTTCCTAACAACAGACTTTAGGATCAATCTCTATAGATTATGATGGAAAGTTTTGAAATTTATAAGTTTTACGAAGTCGGATATGAGGATAGAAGTAACTGCCGATTCGGATGGATGATGGTCGCCTTATATCACAAAATGCTAGAATTTGGAACATGTAAACCACTGAATTTAAACCAAAGCCATCAGTGTTGACATGCTAAGGAAGATGCTTGGTAGCTTGTTATGCTTGGTAGCTGATTAAACGTACTTGTAATATACCTACGAATGCGAGACAAAGGAAGAACACAATAGCATGATCAGATGAGTATAGTATATTTGAGAAACCTTACCGATGCATTTCGAATAGTGGTTAGAGGATCGATTATCAGATGTGCAACATAACACGACAGCGTGCAAAATGTCGTGAATGCTTGACCGCGTGCTTTCAGCTTAGCGAGTCAGATAGAACTATAAAAGTCAGCATCAATGCTGGATCTCGTCGAACCCTACGCTACTGATTTTGGTGAATTATGTTCCACTACAAGTTCTCGGACTGTTAACATTTTTGTTGTATCTTCACCAATTTTTTTCATTGGAAAATTCCCAACTGCCAGTTGGAATGACAGATGGGATAAAATTATGTTCGGGAAAATTTTCTGGGAATTATACATATAATCAATGAACTTTACATATTTATGAAGTCTTACACTTTAGAAAACACTGTTCAGGCAAATACATATTTTCGATAAATTCTTATCAGATAACTTTATAAATTTGGAAGAGGTTTTCATTACGGAATGAGGTCAGCTGATGGACCTTTGGAAACCTTGAAGGATTGAACAGATGTTTTGTTCTAGTCTGAAACCCCTCTGGACTCATGAACCAGTGAGAGATCGATCTTAGGATCATCATATCTCATGATGAGCATGTTAATATTCTGCCATTGGATTGAAGTGTAACAGTCCATAACATTTTAGCTCTTTCAGTTCATGACATTATGTAACCGTCAGGTGTTGCCATTGGTTAGAATCCTTCGTCACTTTTGACTTGACCCTAGATTTAATATCCCATGAGGTCATAGGTGGGTTCCATTTAGCAGTCCCGGGTTAGTACGAAGTGATTGCCCAATCCTCTCAGAATTTCCAGTAGCTTCTCAACTGATAGTTAACCTATGGGGAAAAGTACTCTAAGTGAATCAAACATGGTTGACCAAACTGAATTTGACAAACACACAGTAAGTAATGAAGACAGATACGAAGAAACAGATATTGGACACCAACTATTGGGTTGGTAGTCATTAGATATGGTACATCTTGCACTAAAATCCTCATTTGCAAAATGTGCTTCATTTCCTCTTCTACTTCTCTCTTGATTTGCTCTTCATACATTCTTATCAGCAACATCCACTGTAATACGCCTGCCTAATCCATTGCGTTGCTCTTGGCATAATCCTTACCCATTGCTGGTAATTCCCTATGATTTCTGCCACCCTCTCAAAAAAGGGAAACCCACATATACTACTTATATCCATTCTTATCAGCGACGTCTGCTACAATAGTAACGGTTAACAAAAAATTGTATCGTGAAGCTTAATAAATAATCACGGTCCAATGATATTTTATGGTAGCAAACAATAAAGTCTAAGGTTGTTATTTTGTCCTCTGTAAGTTTCGAAAAATACTTAAAACTCCAAAGATGCGTATACATTATCAATAGCTGATTGATTCAGTTTCAGATCTACGCCGTTGTCGAATAAAAATCCTAATAACTAATCATATTTTTCTTTTTTGAAAGGGGTTATAATGACAGTGAAGAAGCTTAACAGATCAGACTTTAAGTAACAAAGCGGTAGTTGTTAGACTTGAGTCGTATAAACAGATAACGCCGATGTAAGTATGTCTAGCTAAGGTGTCTCATGTAAAGGAAGATGTAGATCTTACATTTTCGTACTATTCATTGTTAAATACCACCAGATTGTCTAGACAATATACTTGTTGCCTGTTCATATGTATACATCATTATTTTGACCATATGATTGAATAATTTACTATTGAATGGTTTCCTAATTGGTCATCATCGGATTAAAGTGCATAATTATTTGTTTGTAAGCATTAATTCAATTTATCCAATGATAATATCGTGTCTTAAGGTCTTCATACCCTGGAATAAAGTTCATTGATTATTTAATGATACTGAAATGTTTAAATGAGTATATTTTCTGTTTTGTTCAATTGTCCTGCATAAGTAGTAAGTAACTTACATTAGTTTATTTCTCTCATAATTTCAAATAAATGTAATGTACATGTATGACTTATTGTTAGATTATATATGAACTCGTTTAAACAACGCAGCAGTTTTTATTATGAGGTACTGATATTAGCTAGAAAATTATTGAAAATCAGGAAAAACTAGATAACTGTTTCAGCTTAGTTCATAACTTCTCAGCAGTGCATACCCATGATCCTATACAAGATAGAACCCTAGAAATTAAGGCGTCACATTGAACATATCGTTTATTAGTCACTGAATCAATGTTCAATGGTTGATAATTTTCACTTTCTAAAACGTTTTAATAAAGTAGGGCCATTATCAGTAGCTATTTTCAGTAATAACTTGGTTGACTGCAATAATCATCAGTTTGCAGTGGAATTAGTGAAAGTCCATCCCAAAGCTAGTCACTAATGAGAAATGAATTTCTATTAAATCAAGTAACTAAATTAAGAAGTTCTTGGTCTGATAGACGTTTTTACCATGAATCAGCATTAATTACAGAAGTCATGGAAACCAGACGTTAATGGATAACCGTTTTTTCCTAATTTGACACCCCTTAACAGTATCATCAGGTGATAAATTAGTGCCTAATTGATGCATAACAATTAAACCACTGAGTGAGCATTACAAAAGGCTGTCTACTGAAATTTCTCTCTACACAAAGTTGGAACATCAGAAGGAGAACAGATCAACTAGGATGATTCTTTTTTTTCTTCAAAACGAGTTTTAAAATTGTAGCTAGGACAATTTTAAGAAAATATACAAATATGTTAATGATGCATTGTGGCTAGCAGTGAAATCTAGGATGCGCATTTCATCCTATTTGGGACTCGTCAGCTGGATGTACCTGCTTCCCGGTGAGTTATGTTGTTCCCACCGAGATTCGGACTCGGGAGCGATCGCTTCAAACACCAGCGCGTTATTCCCTACACCACCAAGCCACGATAGTAGCCTCTTGTGCGATGCGTATGATTTTACTGTTATTGCTTGTATCACACCGGCAATTCGGTCCAATTAGTGACAGTGTAATACAACCAATAACACTAAGAATATACACATACTTGCAATTTTTATAAAATAAACTTTGATTATTATACTATTCATAAAGTGCTAAAGAATGAGGAGAGATATTTTTAATCAGAATAATGCTAACCTTCTAGAAAATGTATTTAATCCAGTAGTCACATATACATGGTGAAAAATTGGCAGTTAGTAAGTAGAAATGGTCATCTATGCGTAGAAAAATTTGATAAAGTTTAAGTCATATTCTTGTTTAATTTATCCTTTTCTGAGTTGTAAGCTATGAAAAGACTGTGCTACAGTTTATCCATGAAGTTTGTTTAAATACGAAAGCATAGTTTCCCCAGACTAATTATATCTATGCATTCAAGAACAGTCAACTAGAAATCGTGGAAATTTAGTCATCAGTTTAAGTACTGATGTCTATCAGTTGATTATGTCTTGAATAACGCAGCTGTGGATAACTATTAGGTAGTTGATGATATATATATATATATATATATATATATATATATATATATATATATATATATATATATATTGTCTGGTGAACAGTTTTTCTTTGTGCTAGTGACTAAATGCGAATAGGCATCTCATCCTATCTGAGACTCATCGGTTGGATACATTGGTATTCTGCTGAGTGGAAAGATATTCAATCAGGTGGTAACACGTTACACATCAGTTTAGAGATTAGTGTCTATGGGAAATCTTCCCATCTGAATCACTACTTAGACTTCGAATCATCTCACACTATTTCAGTTGAAGTAGGCCTAGTTGAATGCCTAAGTGACAGGGCGAAAAGCTTATTAGTAGGCCAGAAAATCTACGATAAGAAATTAAACATATCAAGAATTAAATGCAACCGTCTGAAAAAATAATATCTTCCCTTTAAGTACTTCAATTATACAGTGAATTTGTACAGTGTGAAATCAGACCAAGTTAGGGGAAATTACGTTATCAAAATGGAGTGAAATTTAGGGACTGCCAGAAAATCGATGTATCATTGTTAATTTGGCGATTGGAAGAAGGGTGACTTAAGTCTTTGCAAGAACTCGTACGGAGTCATGCTCCACGCCTGTCCACACCAAGCAAAACAATAGGCCGTATCATCCTGGAGAGGCTAAAATATGCTCCGGATTCAAAACTACGACCGGAACAGGCTGGCTGGCTCCAGGAAGTACGAATCATGTGCCGACCGAATTTCAACGCTACATCACGCATCATCATTGAACACAGTATACAATGGCAGTCAACTCAAATCTACCTCAAATTCATCCACTCCGAAAATGCCTTCAACAGCGTCGACCAACAAGCAATTTAGCACTTGCTTCAACACTACGCTTTAAGTACTACAAACATTACCAACCTCATTCAACAACTATATGCTTTATGAAGATACTGCATACCTAGTCATTCACAATGGAAAGCTCAGTGATGCATTCGAAGTAAAGACACGAGTAAGATAAGGCTGCCACCTACTATCACCCATGATATTCCTGATCGCAGTGGACTGAACTGGATCATGCAACATGCAGTGAGGAGTGAGAAGAGGGGGATACGATGGCTGGACCGGGAAAGATCCTAGATGATTTGGATTTCACCAATGATGACTTGTGTCTCATGTCATGTGGCATAAACTTTAAGATCTACAGACGAAAACTAACAAGTTGACAGAAGAGGCGAGGCGAGGTGAGGCGAGTCAGGACAGGACAGCGAAGACGAGACTTCAAGTGAACGTGGAGAGGATGGAGTTGATGAAGATACCCAACCAACAACAACAACAACAACAACAACAACAACAACAACAACAAGCTGCAATGAGCATCAACGGAGAAACTTGAAGGAAGTAGCCTCCTCCACCTACACCTATCTAGACAGGTAGCATCATTTCAACTACAGGCAGCGGTACATGCACAGGCACAGGCAGCGGCACAGGCACAGGCACAGGCACAGACGAGGATGTCAAAGCCAGCATCGGAAAAGCAAGACAGATATTCATTAACGTGAAACCAGTGTGGAAATCGTCTGCACTCAGCATAAAGCGTGAACAACATGCGGATTTTGAAGACTAATTCAGTCAAGTGAGTCAGTGCTTCCATGCTTCCATGTGGTGGTTGAGAGAGTTGGCGCATTACGGGAGGTATTTCCAACAAACTGTAGACATTCATGAACAACTGTCTAGGTTGTCTGGTTACTGAAGCTGATGGCCAGATGGGGAGAGTGAAAGAATGAGCAAGTAGGAACTGTGGCTGTGTGGCTGGCTGACTGGCTGGCAACCAACCAACCAACCAACGAAGCAAGAAGCTATCACTGAACGAGTATGCAGTGGAAGGAAGTGGAGATGGATTGGATTGTATTGGGCATGCACTGAGAAGACCATTCGGGGACATCACGTGTCGGGCCAGACCCTCGAGTGGAACCTTGATGAGAAGCGGTGAGTTGAGCAACCGGGGTGAGGGTGACATGGAGGAGATAGTGTGAGTAAGAAATGAGAGGTTGTGGGTTGTCGTGGAGTGAGGTTCGAAAGATTGTGGAGAACAGAGTGTAGTTGAGACGTGTTAGTGAATCCCTATGTTCGACTGGGAACCAAAGGGACAAATGATAGTAATAATAATAAAATTAGTTAATATTGGGATGATACATTTACAGATGAATTATGTGATAATGAAGAAGACGATAACGAATAAAATGGCAGGGGTGACGTTTAGTTTGCTGAAGGCCAAGGGAGAAGTAATGCTTGGACATGTTCTCCGTGAATGCAGAGTTCAGGCTTGTTCAATCTTATTGCGACAGCCTACGCCATTTTGAACAGGCATTGGTGAGCTACTTTTGATATTCTTTTTTGTGGAATATGATGAATGACACTGAAAGCTTTATTAGCATCTTTGTGATGTCCTGTATCAATTAGGTGCGCTAGGACTGAACTTGTCACAACCCTCACTTCCCCCTTCCCGAACCAAGCTGGTAATTGCTCTTGTATCCAGAGACGCACCTGCCTAGTCGTACGCCTTACGTAACTAGTTCCACAGGAACATTTAAACTCATATATGTAAGGTGAAGAACTAAAATTAGATAGGGTATCCCTTTGTCTCGGATTGAGTATCGGACGACAACTGATTGATATTCAAAGCCGACCTGCATAAAATGTCTTTAGACTGCTCTAGCTAGGCGTTGTGATAGAATCTCACATTAAGAATATCTTGCGTTCCAACAATTACCCCCTTAAATTTATAGATAAGTTCATAAGAAATCGAAGGAAAAATATAAGCATTAGTGGTAGTAACCTGGGTGTTATAGACAATAATTCTACTACTAATGGTAACAATGGTAACAGGGCTGAAAGAGACTTTAAAGCTTCTGATGTGTTACCGTACAAGGAAGGTACCTCAGAAGCATTAAGAAGAATTATTAATAAAGCTGGGATTAAAGTGTTATTTAAACCAATCAAATACTCGCTTAGAAACAAGCTTTGTAGGTAAAAAAGATCATTTAAGCAAAGTAATTTGGTTAACCAAATCCCTTACAATGGTTGCGAGGTCGACCGGGGTCGATTAGAATAACAGAGCACAAAACCTTAGCTAAATCAAGATAAAGAACTTAGAAAACGTTCGGCTATAGCTCTACATGCAGTTACACACGATCATATAGTAGGGTGGGACAAAGCGACAGCTTAAAAAACTAACTTCGTTGGGTGGAGGAAGAGATTGATAACTGAATCTTTGCTTATCGAATTAACACCAAATATATGCGGGAATCGAAATACTTCTGTACCTGTCCCAGATATATCGAAAATTCTGGTACCCTTGTCATCACAAAGAAGGATGGAAAGTTATGACGATATAAACTCTGTCTCAAAGTTGTGAAGTTAACCAATAGGATTATGACCATTAAATTATGTCCGAAACATTATTCAGTAAATGATACTGTTTCACTGTGACATTTCTAATATAAAGACT